GAATGAAAGATATCACAGTAAAGTATATATAGAAGGGTTAAGAATTGTTTTGCCAAACTTTTTTTTAAGTTATATCTGGGCATGTGTGTGAAAGAGCATTAAAGAATAGTGCAAAGTGTAGTTATTAAAAAAAGAGTTCATTTTTGGGGGAGCAGTTTTAGGTTTACAATAAAATTGAAGGAAAGGTAGAGAGATTCCCCATACACCTCCCACCCTCACACATGCAGTACCTTCCTCATTTCAGCATCACTCACCAAAGTGGTACATTTTTTTAGCCAAGGATGAGTCAACATTGATCCATGATATCACCTAATGTGCATAGTTCCCCTTAGGGTTCATTCTTAGTGTTGTAGGTTCTATGGGTTGGAACAAATGTATAGTGACACGTCCATCATTGTGGTGTCGTGCCATTTCTACTGCTCTAAAAATGCTCTGTGCTCTGCCTGTTCATTGCTGAGCCACCCCACTCACCCACCCCTGGCAGCCACTGATCTTTTACTGTCTCTGTAGTTTTGCCTTTTCCGGAATGTCATGTATTTGGACTCAAACAGTACGCAGAATCCTCACACTGGCCCCTTTCCCTTAGTAATATGCATTCAAGTTTCCTCATGTCTTTTCATGGCATAATAGCTCATTTCTTTTTAGCTCCAAAGAATATTCCATTGTCTGGACTTACTGCAGTTTATCCATTCACCTGTCGAAGGACATCTTGGTGCCTCCATATTTTAGCAATTATGAAATACAGTTGTCTTTTTTTTTTTTTTTTCCTTGGTTCGTGGTGGAAAGTATTTGATAGCCCCTGAGGTGAGTGGTGTTTTCACTTTTCTTCATACGGAAACTGAGACTCAGATTAGCTGGGTTACTTGCCCAGGATGACACAGCTGGCATATAGCCAGGTGAGGATTTGTGCTCCAGGCATCTGTCAGAAGTGCATGGATTTCAGCCATCTTCACAGCTCTCCCTCCTGCAAGCCACTGCCGATCCATTTAGCAAGACAGCCTCGGGGGCCTCTGCTCATTGTGGGGTCAGGGGGGTCAGGTCCCTGCCCCTGAAAGAAGCGAGGCAAGTTGGCGTCACCAAAAACTGAAAGAGCAGGCATCAGATTTGGTATAATGAAGATAAACTCAAATTTCACATTAACTAACTTTGCTAGAAGCAAGCTAAATTCATCTAAAAGTCTTTTTCCTTTCCGAATGAATGCAAAGCACCAAGACAGGCGTACAGGGACTGTGCTTCACTACGTGGGCAGTAACTGCTCGCCTTCCAAGTTAGGGGCCCCATGCTCTCATCGGGGGCTTTTCTGACATGCCCACATTGTTAGGGGCCTCAGGCAAGAACCTGGGATAGGTTTAGAAATGCCAGAATGACAAAACCACGGGAGATGGGAGTCCTGGGTGGAGGAAGTAGTACTACATTCATGTTTCTAAACAATTTGCCGACAGAATTAGCACCATTACTTAGGGAGATCTCCTTCATTTGAGGTTTTGGTTTACATCTCAGTGCCTGAAATATTTCCCATAGAAACCTTTAGGGGGTGGGCCAGAGAGAGCTGAAGAATGGAAAGGCCTCAGCCCGTCACATGGGGAAGAAATGAGGGGAATGCCTCTGTGGGATTCCGCGTGGCCTCACGCAGCTTTTCCGTCTGCACCCCCTGAGAAAATAAAACACCCTGGAAAGACCCTGGGCAGGAAGATAGGTGGATTTAGAGCGAGGGAATGCGCTTCTCCCACACAGGCTACACATCTGTGAGGGGGAGCTTTAAGTAATCCTGATCCTGGGTCCCAGGTGCAGTCTGGGCGGAGGAACTTACAAAGCCTCCCACGTGACTGCAGCAGGCAGCCGGGGTTGAGAACGTCTGGCCTACAGTCTTCCTCGGGAACAAGGTGATGATCAGCAGCAACTGCATGTGGGCCCGGAGAGCGGGAGGGCCATGTGGTCCGTCTGTCTTTGTGAGCTTGACCTTAACCTCTCTGAGCATTATTTTCTGATCTTAAATTTGGCAGGTTTTACTCAAGGATTTTAAAGGTTCTTTGCAACCCTAGAATCGTATGATTCCATGTGCTTTTTCTTTTCTCTCTGTTAATGTGTGTGCATGTGTGTGTGTTTATGGTCAAGAAGGGCACTATCACAACCATCTCTCAGATCCAGATGTGACATTTTTGTTGGTTTTTTCTTTTTTTAAGCAAATGCATTGGACATACTATGTTCCATTTAAAAGTGAACACATTTAATCTTCCTAACAATCCCATGAGGTCCATTTTTCACGATTTCCTTCACCCACTGGGTTTTTTCTCATTTATCCATGGTCCTGAAGGAACAAGCCTTTGAGTAGGTCAGACCTGGTTGAGCTGAAATAGGGCTGGGATTTGGCCACTGAATTGTGTTTTTCATATCTTACTTGGCTCTAAATATGTTACTTTTCGGAGCAAGAAAGAAGTAAAAGTCTTCGATGACAATAGTACATGGGTGTTCCCTTTGAGCAGATATGGTCATACAAAAACATACACATTTATGCATCACATTGAAGGAGAGGCCATTTGCTTTACAAGGTTACCCTAGAGGTGAGCTCATCAAATCATCAAATAGAGACACTGAAGTCAAGACGGAATTGTAGAAGCAGGAAGGAGTCATCTGAGGGACCCCCGCACAACCACTCCTCTCTTGATGTCCTCTGGGGGACTGTGATTCACCGCCTGGACCAAGGGGCTGGGGGGCAGCCCAGAAGCCCCTGGGCTGCTGCCTCTGCCAGACTCTGCTGGCTGCAGGTGTGGGACCTCTCAGCATCTCAGTCAGGAGCTGAACCCCATGGGGAGACTAAGATCCCTTCTGTCCATGAGGCCCTGGGACCCCAGTGCTCTGGCCTCCCTGAGAGGAGTCTGGGGTGGGGTGGGGCACATTCAGCCACATCAACCCCACGAAGTATTCAATTCAGTGACGACGCATCAGACACACAGAAAGAGCCACATCTCCAGGTTTCATTTCCTGTTTTGTAGCCTGCTCCAGGTGTCCTCACAAGGAAGTGGCCTTGAGGGAGGAAGCTGGCTCGGCAGAAAACCTTAGGCCTCTGTCCTAGCTAGATTTTCCAGGTCCAGGTGTTCCGAACAGCAAATTCCTCCTGGCACACTAATTTTGCAGTTAGGTCCGCAGAAATGTGTGCCCTGCAGTTCTGGAGGAAGATAAGTCAATCACCGTGTAACAGGCAGAGACTTAGATCTTACAGATAAAGTATATCTTTCTTCTCTACCCAGTGTTGCTCAAATATAGGGGCAGGAGAAAGCCTCCAGGGAATCTGGAACCAGGGCTGTGGAGATGTGGAAAGCTTTTTAATGATTCAGTATATGAGTCTCTTTCAGATAAAGTTAACCCTTTTCTGATTATAAAGGTATTTTTTTAAGTAATGCATACTCTGTACAGTTTGAAAGGTACAGAAAAGTTGAAAAGAAGGAATAAGATTCCTTTGCTTTCCAGCCATCACAAAGTAGCCTATGATATTTTATCATGCTTCCAGCATTGTTTATATGCCGCTATACAGATTGTACTGAATTTCACCATTTTCACTTCATGGCATATGGCAGCGCCCTCGTGTGGTGAAATGCGCCCGGGCTTTTTAGCCGCCTCCAGGCTGGGGCCCCGCAGGCCCAGTCACCTCCCCGACAGGAGCCCTGGGACTGGTCACGCTGCGGACGAGGTCACCCTCCGCCGGCCGGCCGCTCTGGTTGTCTTGCAGTTTTGCTGTTTGAACAGTGCTTATACTAAGTCCTGGCTAGGATATAGAGATCCCGTTTATTTCACGGTGTTAAAAAGGCCTTGCCTTTTACAAGGGTTACATGGTTCATCCCTCGACTGGTTGTTTGGAAGGTGGAGTTCATTTCCACCAAAAACAGTTTCATGAATGATGGCCGGGAACCCTGGGCATCCACAGAGGCCGCTGTACCTCAGTCTAGTCGCTGCGGTCCTAGTCCGTAGGTTTCTGAGCTGGGAAGACCCGGCTAGGTACTGGAGTTCCATCCCCCAATACCTCCCACCTCTGCCCCCAAGGCCTGGACAGAGGATTGTCCAGTGAAATTAAAAAGTCACAGATGGCTTCCCAATTAGCAACAGAAGCCTGTAACATACCCTTCTCATACATATATGTGTGTGTATATGTGTATGCATATATGTATTAATATGCATATGTGTGTATTTAACGTAATCTGTTTAATCTCTGTACATATGTACTTCTATGTGTATGCATGTATCTGTGTGTGGATAGATAAGATAGATAGAGATAGATAGAAATACAGTTAAAAGCTGAGTGGTTTAAAATCTTGCTGTCAGAATCAGGAAAGTTTTCAAGCTTTTCTGCTGTGTCCCTGAGAAAATTCTGAACTCTTTCTAGGCCTCTGTTTCCTTGTATAAAATGGCATCATAATAGTACCTTCCTCAAAATTGTGAGGACTTGTTGAAGCCCTCAGGCAGATGTTGGCAGCGGCCGCTCTTCAAGGTTTTCCTTGGAAAGCACAGCAAGGCCAGTGGCTGTGGGCCGCCAGGACCCCACAGCGGGGCTTCTTCTGTGTGGAAGGGGAAGTATTGAATGCGGGAGTCTTATAACTCCCCTAGGGTGATGTCCCACTCAGCAAAGAACTGTCGCATCTTTACTTGCCTTCCACTGTAGCTGAGTTCTAAGTGGGCTTGACCTGCAAGCCATGTATTTCTCATCACATATCAATACATTGACCTTCCAGTTAATTTATGATTTTCATGGCAAACTGCCCCCCAGAGAATGTCCGGTCTTGCTGTGTGACAGGTTTCTGAAACTGTGTGTCAAGAGGTGGATCCTGGACCAACATGCTCCTCCGTTTGAGTCTTTTTGGGAGATACTTTCTGGCACTGCTTTATAGTTGTGTAAAACTGTATAAATATTATGCTTCACAGCTTCCTAGTTAGCACCAGCCAAAGAATGAATTGCTTTAAAGACTAGTGAAGACTTAACTCAGAAGGTAATTTTCCTTTTTTCCTAGGACACCTGGGATGAACTCCTAATTGGCAGTGTAGAAATGAAAAAGATTCTGTCTTGCCCCAGGTGAGGATTCTCGGGAGCCTCAGCCTCGGGGGTGTGGCACGCTTATTGGTTCTTAACAGTTATCTGATCCTTGGTTATTGCTTGACAGGTGCATCATGACCACTGTGGACCCGGACACGGGAGTGATAGACAGAAAGGAGCCCCTGGAAACCCTGAAGAGGTAAAACATCGATGTGGCCAGTGTATTCTAATATTATCCCCATCCTAGAACACCCCCTCCATCCCCCTGGTGTAGATCCTCTGCCTGAGCAACTTTCACTCTGCCTTCTGGCTGGTTTGTGTTTCTTGGTTAATGTTAGTATTTGTGGCTTCCTCTTTGTTTTCAGATGGACCTTCTTGTGATTTTGGCAAAATTTTAATCGTATAATACTATGTCTTGAATTTTTCGTATCTCTCACATCAACTTGTAACATTTACATATGTATTTCTAAATTAAGATTGCAAATACTTCAATTATTTTTAATTAATGCTTAGTTATTAGTTAATTTTTAAATCATTAAAATTTGATAATGTTCAGTATTTTCAGTCTCAATGTAATTTCAGTATAATTTAATTATATTTTACTATGATTTTGATTCTTAATATTTAACATTATTTTAATTAATTGAACCCTTCAAATTTATTAGAATCAGTATCAAGGAATATGAGAATACTTGAAGTATAATGAAATAATATAATAAATGTATAATGAAATATTAGAAAATTGAAATGTAGCAAGTTGTCAGAGTTTGTTTATCCAGGAGCTTTTATGCTGGGATGTTTTGTTTTGTTATTTAAAGAAGTCTAGCTGACTTTACTTCTCAATATAGAATGTGTTTTTAAATCCAAGTTAACATTTTTTTGGAGATAGATTCACTTTTGCTTCCTTTTCCTCTGTTTTGGTTATTCTTTTTATTTTTTTTACAAAAATTTTAATTAAGGTACATGTAATAAAATGTGCAAATCTTAAAGTGTAGAGTTCAGTACGTTTTGACCTGTGTATACACTCATGTAACAATCACCTAGACCAAGATACCAAATAGCCTCGCTAATTTTCTTGTTGGTTATTTCTAATGGGCTTAAGTTAGGGAAGAGGTTATTTTTGAAGATTTCAGATAAACAATTCTATCTTGCTTTTTGATTTTTAAGATGAAGTGAAGCTAGTTTTTACTTTAGATGGTCTTTTGAAAAAAAAAATTTACAATCGTCTAGCTTCCCTGCCAACTGCATCACTGTCTTCATTTTTGTTCACCAAACCACCCCAGCTTTGGGTTTGCAAGCTTGGAGGAGTGAAAAGCATTGTGCTTAAATGCCTTAAACAGCAGGGTTTGAGAGTTCAGGGCAGTTTGAATTTAAGATTCAGGAGTATTTGTTTCAGTGAGTTATAAAGTTGGAGGTACACGTGCAAAGGAAGTATTTATTTTAAATAACACACCAAAGTTTTCTTCTTTTTGATCTCAAACTGAAGCCAGGGGAACATTATTTATTTAAACTCTAGAAAAACTGGGATCCTGTGCAGTTTGATTAATTGCCCGTAGACTTCTCTGTCAGCATTTTAGAAAAGGCTTGCTGTTTATTTATAGGTAACCCCAGAATGAAAACTTAAATTCTGTTGACAGCACTTAGATTCTTTGTTTTTCCATTATTTTTTTTATTAAGGTATCATTGATATACAATTTTACATTGGTTTCAAATACACAACATAGTGGGTTCAACATTTACCTGTATTAAGTCCCCACCCCCTCCAGTACGGTCAGTGTCCATAATGTAATAAGATGTTATAGAGTCGCTAACTGTATCTCTGTGCTGTACCATGTTCCTGTGACCAGCCTGTATTGGACAGCCCTTAGATTCTTATTTCCTTTTGTGCCTGATGGTGAACTGTTGCCTCTTTCAGCTACCGCCTGTGTGATCCTTCTGAGAAGCAAATATATAAGTCGTCCCCACTTTTTGGGATCTATTATTCAGTGGAGAAAATTGGAAGCTTGAAAGTTGGAGATCCTGTGTATCAGATGGTATAGTGACGGACCCACCCAGGTGAGATGGTAAAGGGCCAGCTTTGCTTCTGGAATGCAGTGCCTTGAAGCCACTGCCGTATGTTTTTGCATTGGGAGTTATTTTATATTTTGCTGCTTTAACTCTCAGAAGAGTGAGCAGTTTGTGTTTACATCTTTGGAGTTGTAAAATGCCCTTTCTTTTTTTTCCCTTCAACAGTCTGTATTCTTCCACTCAGCGGTCTCCATCCCTCTTTCCCATTCAAAAACTGAATTCAGTTATAAAATCCTGCTCTTGCAGGATCCCCAGCACAAAGACAGGTATATGCTCTCAGTTCATTAAGGATTATCACTTAGGAATGAAGAAATGAAGATGAGCGATTCTCAGGAGTTCTGTATTTATTTTTTTCTGCCTTTGATAGAAAAGTGAAGGGGAAATGTTTAAATGATTCAAAGTCAACTTGGAGAAAAATGTTCAAATAAAATGCTTTTTATCAAATGGATTTTTAAAATATGATTTAAAGTTTGAAAAAAAAACAGTTCTTCAAGGTGCCTGGATTCTGAATCATAAGGTAAAAAATAATGCTCTCACTTTAATTTCCTTGGGCCAAATAAAACCCTGACTGATGCCTGGAGCATTAATGCCTAACCCCCAAACTGTAGAAATGAGAAAGTCAGTCAGAAGATCTGAAGTTTTGAAACAACTCTTCTGATGAAATCTATAACCTAGTTCTGAAAATTACCTATCTTCAGAACTCCTGACCACCCTCCACTAATTCTGGCCGGATTTTCTTATCTTGTCACCTGACCATCCTTGAGAACAACATACAGGGCAGTGATCCAGACAGACTGGACCTAGCATTGGATAGACTTGGGTCTGTTTTCCTAGCAGCCACAGTTCCTAACTTGGTTGAGTTTTTAACCTCCCTAAGTTTCAGTCCCCTCATCTGTGAAGTGATAATAAGAATAGAGCTTGACAAAATCAAAGTTATTTTGAGAATGAATACAATGAAGTTGTAGCATTGCAACAGAAACATAGATAAATATTAACTATGATTTTTATTGTCTTCATTGCAGTAATGCTTCATGTTGGGTCTAGCCTTAGATGCCATGAAATGTAGAAAGATGAGACAGGCTTTGCCCTCTAGTGGGCAAAAAGAAACTTTTATTGGCTACCTATTTATGGTCAAGCATTTATTAACATACCCATATTTCATCAGTTCTAAGATGCCTGTTTTCCCCAGATTTTAACACCTTTGAAATAACAAAATTTCTTGTAACATTGTGGATGCCTTTTTAAAAATCTCAGTGATGCATAAAATAATGGGGCATCTTATGATTTATGTATCTTGGATTTGATGAAATACAGTTACGTACTAGAGAGAAAATTGGGAAGGTCCTAAGTACATACCATTTCTTAAAGCCCACCTTGGGAAGGTGGACCGAAGCCTGAACCGTCAAGCTTGAGTGAAACGGATCCTTTGTTCCTGCTGTTCAGGCCACAATGGACTGGATCCGGAATGCTGGGGCCAAAGTCTTTCATATGTTGCATGCATTTGAGGGAGCTCAGTGGACTTTGAGGTGCCATAGCCATTAGGAGTCTTCCATATCACTTTGTCTCAAACCCACTCAATCTGATCCTGTTTTGCAGCGGTTGGAGGCAAGGCACACCTGTGGTTCGCTCAGACTCAGTGGATTTCCAGTTGTCTCAGCTGTCTGGGAGGCCTTGTGTATTCAAGAGTCTAAGATAACTTTGTTATCCTAAGGGTCTCTGTGAGATAAATGTGAAAGCATTTTCAGGGACAAGAAACAACTAGGACAAAGTTGCTGATAAGAGGCTTGCTCTTTGCACAATCTTATGACACACATTTACACACGTAAAGAAGTAACTACAACTCAGGTTGAGATAAGGTGCTTCATGGCTTCAGAAGAGAAGTTACTTCTGGGTGGGGTGATGGAGAAAAGCTTGGGGATAGAGATAGACTCTGAACTTGCTGAGAAAGGAAAGTCAGGAGAGTGCTCCAGGGATCGAATATGATGGAAGCTTCTAGAAGGGCCAACCTACCATAGGGACCTAGGAAGACACTGGGGCAGGAAAGAGGGGAGACGAGGATGGAGAGGAGGGAAGATGCCAGAAATTTTAGGTTCGTGAAAGTTAGTTTCCAGGTGAAGGTAGCTGTGCAATGTGTCTAAGTCCAAATCATGACCAAAACTTTTTGGATGAGTGTCCTGGTGGCACTGCATGGGGTGGCCTAGAGGGACTGAGGGGACATAAAAGGGGTGTCAGCATGGGATTTAAGTAGGATAGAAGTCGCTGGGGTGGAGATGGAAGTGTGGAGTGCCCAGATCCTCAGCGCGGTGTACATGCTGTTTGCCATTTGGTTCCAAACTCACTTTCAGCTTTATTTTATTTTGTTTTATTTTTGTATCATTAATATACAATTACATGAGCAACGTTATGGTTACTAGACTCCCCCCATTATCAAGTCCCCCCTACAAACCCCATTACAGTCACTGTCCATCTGCGTAGTAAGATGCTGTGGAATCACGACTTGTCTTCACTGTGTTACCTTTCAGCTTTATTATCTGCCACTTGCCCGCACTAACCCTGGGGCCTTCCCCCTGCTTCTCTGTGCTGAATATGCCTTTCCTCCATAAGCAGCTGCCACTCAGGGTCCTACCTGGGAACAAAGCCTTCCGCTGGCCGCCCGGCCAGAAGCACTGAGGAGTTTCTTTTCTGGGGGGGCATTTCTGTTGGCCTTTAAAAATAACAGCAGTGTTACTCATCTGCTTCTAAGAGGGAGCCTCTGTGATGGTCTCTGCATTCTGGAGGACCAACTTTATAAAACAGGTTGATTAAAGCCTAAAAAAAGTTAGTATTTGCACCAGGGTTACTTGAATTATTTACTTATTCACTTAACATTTAATTATATTAAAGTTTATTCCATTATAAATGTAATACATGTTCATCATGGCAAATTTAGAAAAGACCAGTAAAACAAGAAATCACCCACTGTCACTGTTTATAATTTTGTTCTGGTTGGTTTTTTTTGTTTGTTTATTGTAGCCATGATCTGTATGATATATATAATATATATAATATATATCATGCAGATATATATTATATATCATCTACATATTGTGTACACAGATGTGTATCATACATATATCATACATCATATATATGTACAGAAGTATGTATCATAAGCATTTTCATACCCCCCCATCTATTCAAATGCCATTTTTGATGGCTTTATATTGCATTGTTTAAATATGTGAAACATTTTAAACCCCATTTTACAGTATTTGACACTTGGACTAATCCAATTTTGTTACAAATAATAATATAATATATATCTCTGTATGCAGAATTACTTTAAAATTGTGTTGTTCCGTAACTTAGATTCCTGATGTGGAATTATTGACTCATGGAGTATAAGAAAATTTTTTTGAACAGGTGCTTTCCAAAGTGTTCTGCCTCTTTGTGCCCCCACGCGTGACGCGGGACAGATTCCTGTCTCTGGGCCTTTGCCAGAACTGGGTGGGTGACTAGTTTTTAACAGGCTGCTTATTTCCACTAAGGTAATTTGGTGCAGGACAGAGTTTATGTTTCCTATATTTTAACCTCCATAGGTGACTATATTGTGGGGGTGAAGGGTGTTTGAATTATTTATGACCTATAAGAGAAATAACCAAATAATCAGAGGTTCTTATCCTTCGTTCAGGTCTCAGCGTCCAGGAGGCATTGATCAGCATTTTAATGACAGCAACAGTATGCACCTTGGCAAGTCATTATTACTCAGCCTTTGACCATCTTCACCCTGGAAATGAATCTCTATTTTTGATGTTTTGGAGTTACGCATTCTCCAAGTCAATACAAAGAAAGTATAGGTGATTTGGGAATAATAAGGTATATAGATTTTAGGCAATGAAGACATTTTAAGCATATAAAATTGTCTATAAAATTATTTTGCCTGTTAACTATAGCTGTTCTACTTCTCAATTCCCGACATTCTGATGAGTAAAGAAAGTTTAAAGAATCAGCTAACAAGCTGCAAAATTTTTTGAAAATGTTTAGATTTGATTACCTGTCATTCCAGGGTTTAGTAGAAATGGGAAACAATAGGTCATTGTTTTCTGATGTGACCTTACACGTTAACACACTCACAAATTCCTGCTGTAAGTCTTTACATGACTATTGAATCCCGTAACTTTTTGCTCAAGTCTTTTTGAGCCCACCATTATGGAATCAGGTTGTACTTGAGCGTGGAAATTATTTTATAGCCCTTATTTTTATATTCAGTTATGCCTCTATTAAGGCATATAAAAGTCATCTGTGTGTAACTGCCCGACAGACCTCCTGGAATTCCAAGTATGATAAAGAAGAGGATGGACAGGATTTAAAAGAGAATGGGATTTTGAAAGCGAGAGCAGGAGAAGGAGAGTATGAACATATTTTTTTAGGCTCAAATAATTTTCTTTTGTAACAAAGAGAAATGAACTATTTTGGTATGACTAAATGAAAATTCTCACCGAAGTGCTGTCAAACAATTAATCCACTTAGAATTTTGTGGTTTCTTTAATATTAATAAATGTGAATCTCAATTTTACTTTTTCTTTGGTATTTATGAGTCGGCTTCTAGGGCTTTTCTTACTTTAGATTAGAACTTCAGTCACTGTCATTCATTTCTTTCTACCCTTTTCTGGTAGCTTGGCAGAGGGCTTCCCTCTAGAGTCACATTAGGCGTTGGTGGGGGGGCTTCCCGAGCTCTCAGACTCTGAGCTGAGGTGTGACGGCCAGTGACTGTGAGACTTCCTAGTGGCCAGTGAGGAGCGGAATTCTTTCCTTCTCCAATTTCTGTTGCTGAATTCTGGGACTGAAATTAATCTCCATTCCCAGCGCCCTGTGGGGAAAAAGTGGTAAGTTAGCTATATCTCTAAATTTTAGAAATGATGAAATTGGAAAATCATGCCCACTTTGGAGTCAGCTGTTAAAATAGAGAAGCAGACTTTTTCCTTTTAAACTTCTGAAGAGAAATCAGGGAGACACGCAGAAATAAAAAACATGCCGGGCCCCTGAGTTGTGTTTCCAGTGGGGAATGTGGAGCCCAGGTCCCTAGTCCCTCTGAGGAGTGCAGCTCCTCACTCATGCCCGAGGCTGCATCACCTCTGTCAGCATTTCTTCTGGGGAAGCTGGATGGACCCAAGCCCCATTGTCCTCCCGCTTGTTCCTGGAGCAGGTGAGATCACAGATGTGCCCCAACAGCTGAGGACACTGTATTCTGAACACGATGGCTGCCCATCACAGAAGTCGGGAGAAGGTGAGGGTCACCTGGGGTTGGAAAGAAGAACAGGATGGATAGAGCTGTTTAGGTCCAAGTATTTATGGCGAAGAGCAGGGGTCAATGACAGATCTTCCCTAAGCACTGAAGGGCCCCCAAGTGTGCTGCCAGCTGGGGAAGGAGGATTTGCTCTCCTCTGGGGACCCTCCCTCTCCAGTGTAACATTCTCCATTTGCCGGGATGATTCTGGTGGACTCTTGAATTTTGCCTCCATGGCCCTTGTGCTGACCCGGACCGGATAGTGACTTTCCTCGACCCAACTTCAGTCAGGCTTCTCTGAGCTGCTTCTCCATTAAATCTCCACCTTGGCCCTGGCCTTGCTGCCCCACAGAGCCCAGTTTAACAAGAATCCTGCTAAGGCAGGTCAGCAAACATCTTCCTCTCCTTGAGGTTTCTATCCACGAAGCTTTCTCTGCTCCTTGGCTGTAATTTCCCACTTGTATATGTAAGTGGCAAGAGGGGACATCTTTGTCTTGGACCTGACCTTAGAGGGGCAGCAGTCATGAATGAAGTCTTCCTTTCGTTCTAACAAGTGTCAGAATGATTTTTTTCTTTAATAGCCCAACACATCAAACAGGAGCCAAATCCTCTTAAACCACCCTAACCCTGATAGCTGACCTTGTTTCAAAAATGACCTGATTTGGAAGAGACAAGTGATTGAGGTCAGTGCCTGCAAGGCCAGGTGGCCTTCCCTCCCGACCCCAAGAAGCCTCTGGCTCTTGTGTGGGTCAGTACCAACCTTCCCAGCCTTGGCTGCTGCGAAAGCGCCGAGGCTTGGTGCCAGCAGGAGCGGCCTGCGTCCTGAGTCCTGTGGAGGGCGCTCCCCACTGTGAGCCGCAGCTGGGAGAACAGGCGACCGCCAGATCCTCGCAGGCCTCGGTTCGAAGGCCTTGAGGGTCTGGGGGCAGCCCCGCATCCCCAGATTCCCACTTGCAGCGCCGCAAGCAGGGAGGGCGGTGAAGGGCGGCTGGACACTGCAGGCCAGGTTGTGCCGTCCACCTCCCTGCCATCCCCTAGACAGGGAGGGATCTGCCCGATGCCTGATGTCTAACTTCGAAATCAAGCTTTGTCATGCATAGTTTGTAATTTTTTGTCTATTTTAGGTTAAATAAACAGCCCACAAGTAAACTGGTCGCTTGTATTGATCTTGGGGGAGGGCCCATCGCTTGCAGCTGCAGGCGGCAGAAGGTGGGGGAGGCAGAGGGGCGAAGAGCAGGTAGAAGCTGAACCCTCACCTCCCACGCCCAGAGCCCCAGGGGCCAGCCTCCCGCGAAGGACGCGCTCCTTTGATGGGCCCGGAAGGCGTTCCGGGAGCGGCCCTTCCTCTGGGCTCCGGGCCGAGGCCCGCATCTCCCCCAGCAGCCCGGGGCAGCCCCGCTCGGCAGGCAGTGGCTTGCGTCCCCCAGAACCACCGCCGCGCCCGCTCGCTCGGCCATGGGCGCCGCCGGCTCGTGGGCGCTGGGCCGCCTGGGGCTCCCCGCGCCGCGCCTTCCCGCGCAGCCCCGGCCCGCCTGGCTCGGGGTGGCCGCGCTGGCACTGGCCGCCGTGGCGCTGGGCTCGGTCGCCTGGCGCCGCTCGCGGCGCAGACGGCGCAGGCGGCGGCAGCAGGTGGGCACCGTGGCGCAGCTCTGGATCTACCCGGTCAAGTCCTGCAAGGGGGTGCCGGTGAGCGCGGCGGAGTGCACGGCCCTGGGGCTGCGCAGCGGCCACCTGCGGGACAGGTACGGGCCGGGCTCCGGTCACTGGCGGGAGAGGGGGAGGTGCAGAGCCTCTACCGGGCCCTTCTCTCCCTTGCAAAGAAACCGGGAACAGAAGAGGTGAGGATAAAGAGAAAAGCGGCCATCACCACCCAACCGAACACCCCTGGGGTCCGGGACGCTGGGCCTCTTTGTTCTGACCCGCATTCCCGAAATGGCTGTATTTGCACCTCCCACGGACTCTTTAGCTCTTGACCTGATGAGGTGTGGTGTCTGTCCCCACGTGTGCCAAAGCACAGGTCCGCCTCTTAAACTCCGTCCAGGGGAGGGGGCCAAGAGCTTCGGGAGATCGTCCTCGCCACTTTGTTTTTAGTAACTGTCTCTTGGAACTTGAGGAAACTTGGAGCACGGGGAACCCAGCCTTCAAAGAGTGCACAAGGCAGAGTGCAAAATCATGACAGCAGTTGAAGCTTTAATCTCTTGCGGTTTACAAAGCTTTATTGCATATATTACTGTCTTTAATTATCTCAAGCACTCTTTTAGGGATAAAGAAAGTGAGATTCAGAGCCAATGGCAGGGGGACCTGGACCCCTGTCTGCTTTAGCACACTGGGGCTTTGTCAGCTGTGGTTTTCATCAGTGCCCCATCTGGCTAGTCACCATCTGTGTGAATTCCCGAGGTCCAGGAAAATTGCAAAGGCCTAGAGTAAGCCGCTTTGTCGTCTCCGTCTGGCGCCAGGCCAGCCCTGGGCCTCACTGTGAAGCAGCATTTCCAACTCCTTCCTCTCAGAGCAGCTCTCACAGATTCTGCAAGTAATACACAGGCCTAAGAGGGGCTGTAACCTCCCCCTCTTCCAGCTCCGCAGACAGGGCTGTCCATGGCAATTCATAATTGAAAAGTGAGCTATGCATCTTCGCCTCAGAAAGGCAACCAAGAATCCTAGATGTCCTGTGGTTTGCACAGTAGCCTCTGCAAGATGGTAGAATTTATTGAATTCATTTGCTTTTGTAGGCCCCAGAAGCAAAGGGCATTGTAATTTTACTATATTTATTGAGCTCATATTATTCATTTATTGAATAATATGAGCTGGCAGTTGTAGCAGACACTATGGTAAATTGTTTATTTTTGTCATCATACTCCCAGGTAGTATCATCAAGGAAACCAACAAGACTCAGTAGGACAAGTGCCAGGGAGCCCAGAGAAAGGAGTACCAGAAACTGACTGGGAGGGTCAGGAATGACTTTGCAGCTTGAACTGAAAACTTAAAAGTGATTAGGAACTTTCTAGGCAAGTAAGTTAGGAGATGAACATTCTAGAGATAGAGAGGGTGAGCTAAGTAAAGATGCTGGGCTTGGGAGGACAGGTATGCTGGGGGAAAGGCTGGTGTATTACTAGATATTGACCAAGAAGAAATTCCTCTCCTTGAGGTTTCTATCCACGAAGCTTTCTCTGCTCCTTGGCTGTAATTTCCCACTTGTATATGTAAGTGGCAAGAGGGGACATCTTTGTCTTGGACCTGACCTTAGAGGGGCAGCAGTCATGAATGAAGTCTTCCTTTCGTTCTAACAAGTGTCAGAATGATTTTTTTCTTTAATAGCCCAACACATCAAACAGGAGCCAAATCCTCTTAAACCACCCTAACCCTGATAGCTGACCTTGTTTCAAAAATGACCTGATTTGGAAGAGACAAGTGATTGAGGTCAGTGCCTGCAAGGCCAGGTGGCCTTCCCTCCCGACCCCAAGAAGCCTCTGGCTCTTGTGTGGGTCAGTACCAACCTTCCCAGCCTTGGCTGCTGCGAAAGCGCCGAGGCTTGGTGCCAGCAGGAGCGGCCTGCGTCCTGAGTCCTGTGGAGGGCGCTCCCCACTGTGAGCCGCAGCTGGGAGAACAGGCGACCGCCAGATCCTCGCAGGCCTCGGTTCGAAGGCCTTGAGGGTCTGGGGGCAGCCCCGCATCCCCAGATTCCCACTTGCAGCGCCGCAAGCAGGGAGGGCGGTGAAGGGCGGCTGGACACTGCAGGCCAGGTTGTGCCGTCCACCTCCCTGCCATCCCCTAGACAGGGAGGGATCTGCCCGATGCCTGATGTCTAACTTTGAAATCAAGCTTTGTCATGCATAGTTTGTAATTTTTTGTCTATTTTAGGTTAAATAAACAGCCCACAAGTAAACTGGTCGCTTGTATTGATCTTGGGGGAGGGCCCATCGCTTGCAGCTGCAGGCGGCAGAAGGTGGGGGAGGCAGAGGGGCGAAGAGCAGGTAGAAGCTGAACCCTCACCTCCCACGCCCAGAGCCCCAGGGGCCAGCCTCCCGCGAAGGACGCGCTCCTTTGATGGGCCCGGAAGGCGTTCCGGGAGCGGCCCTTCCTCTGGGCTCCGGGCCGAGGCCCACATCTCCCCCAGCAGCCCGGGGCGGCCCCGCTCGGCAGGCAGTGGCTTGAGTCCCCCAGAACCACCGCCGCGCCCGCTCGCTCGGCCATGGGCGCCGCCAGCTCGTGGGCGCTGGGCCGCCTGGGGCTCCCCGCGCCGCGCCTTCCCGCGCAGCCCCGGCCCGCCTGGCTCGGGGTGGCCGCGCTGG